AGGTGCTCACTCATTTGTCTTCTTCCTCTGGAATGCAGGCGAGTTGAAGTTTCGTGGGTCCGACTTGGTGGTTGTAGTATCTTGGGGATTTCAATGTCAGGGGGTTCTGTGGTGATGGTGTTCCGGGGACCTGTTTTAACCTAGAAAAGTGGAACCCTGTGGGGTGGCCATGCAGTTTAGTGGCCATAGGAGTGATATAGGCCTAGCCATCGGGGCTGTAATTTGATGGATGCATTTCCTTCAGTAGGACCCAGTCCCCTGGCTGTAGAGGAGTGGGAGGGATCTCTCCCGTAAAGGGCTGTGGAAAAATCTGGTCTGTATGCACTCATTAGTTGCCTGACGAGGTTATCTATAATAATAAAAGCGTAATATGCCAATTAGACCGGACAGCCAAATGACCTTCTGGACGAAGCCAGGGCTGCCAGGGCCGAGCTCCTTGCACGAATTTCGTGCGTCGGGCCTCTAGTAGGTATATAATCTCCTAAGGGGGTTTCCTTGGAAGGTAAATTTCCTAGTAGGAAGGGCTTTCCACACAAATTCGAAGGGGCTGAGAAAGGATGGGGCCCAGGGAGTTGTTCGGATGCACATGAGGGTGAGGGGTAAGAGGGAGGTCCAAGGTTCCTTAGTCTCAAGACTTAATTTAGTTAAATGGGATTTAATTAGGGAGTTGGCCTTTTTTACTTTGTCCGAAGATTGGGTTCAGTAAGGGGTATGTAAGTTCCACTGGATATTCAGAATAGAAGAGATTTCTTGGGTTATTTGGGATATAAAGGCAGGTCCATTGTCTGACTGTAAGGAGGTGGGCAGTCCAAATCAAGGAATGACATGTTGTATGAGGGCTTGTGTAACCTCAGATGACTTCTCAGGTGTGGTAGGGAATGCCTCTAACCAGCCTGAAAAGGTATCTACCAGGGGTAGAAGATATTTTCTTCTTTTAATAGGGGGAATATGAGTGAAATCATCTCGCCTGTCTTGTCCAGGAATCTGGCCCCTGGCCTGGTGAGTGTGGAAGGAGATCTAATGTGTCCTTGTGGAGATACTGTACAACAGACAGAGCAAGTTTTGGTGATATCTTGTAATAAGGAAGCTAGGTCAGGACATGTAATAAGAGGTTTTAAAAGCTGTACAAGTGGTCTGTATGCTCTGTGTAAGGAGTCATAAATGGCCCATAATATCTGGTGAGCTTGTCCCTGGCAGAGGACATATGTGCCCTGAAGTCTTATCTAGGGGTTTTCCTGGGTGGCTCCGAGAACAAGGAGGGACTCAAGTTCCCCAGGTGTGTATTGTGGTTATAAATAGCTAGGAGCTGAGAGGAGGGTTTCCTTTGGGCCACTGTTCTTCCTGGTCCGCCCAGTTATTGCCCTGTATTACGGGATCATTGCCCACAGTGTATGGCTGCTGCTGCCTTAGGAAGGTCTGCTTCCTGTAGAAGATTGAGGATTAAGGGGGCATTGGTTATGGGGGAGCTGTTGGTGGTTAAGATTCCCCTTTCTGCTTTAGCCAATTTGGCACAGTGGATAGAGCAGGGGTCCTCAAACTTTTTAAACAGGGGGCCAGTTCACTGTCCCTCAGACCGTTGGGGGGCCGGACTATAGTTTAAAAAAAAACTATGAACAAATTCCTATGCACACTGCACATATCTTATTTTGAGGTAAAAAAAACAAAACG